ATATATTGTAAAATATTGATTTTTCATTGTGAATAATATAGTTGAATACATATCGATGGAAGGCAAACGGACAACAAGCTGCGCCGCTAGCCCTTTCTGGATAGCAAAACTAATTCTTTTGAAAACAACATCTATGGATCTAGGAGATATGACATTAGAATGCATGGCCCGTTGGACTCTGTTGATGAGCTCCACCGCCTTTGGTGCGAGAAACCAAATGTATCAAATGCAAAAAGGTACAAACACATGTTGATTTTCTATACATGCATTATCGTGCTTTTGCACTTTGCACGTAACGACTTTCAAAGAGACATGCCCTGCTGTGAAACCCCCGCTCCTCAAACCGACGAGAGGAGAGACCCCAGTAAGACCCACACACGCATGCTTTCTTCCTACCCATCCAAAGACCAAAATGTCAGTCGGTGTAAGTGTGGATCTTCCATCCTTTGGGTCCGTCAAAAAGTTCACTGGCGCTTCTTTCTTCTCAGAATTACCAACACGCCGACAAGCATCAAAGAGAACATCCCTAACCACATCATGTCTGTACTTGAAACTAGGAAGTTCTCTACAATGAACCGCATGTTCCCCAAAGGTGTCCAAATATGTCTTGCGGCAAACTGGACATATCTCATCAATTGGGATAATATCCCCAAAGGTGTGCGAACATTTTTTAAAACTTAAGAGTAAATCCGAATATTTTTTAAACTCAAGGGCTTTACTGACATTAGGTAATCGGTAGGTTACCTGGAAACCGGCTAAAAGAGTATAAATGAACAAATTAAACAAAACATTCATCTTTACTGGACCTAAAAGACGTCTACGGGTAAAACCGATATTTTTGTGAAAACTTAAAGGCATTTATGTCATTTGTTCACTTCACTATCAATTGTTGCGTTGGAACACTCACTTGATGCCCTTCAATGCCCTCGACATTCATACTTATAATCAACGAAAAAATTATTGTTAAATAAAAAATGGAAGTAATTATGCAGATTTAACTTTGATATCCTCATTTTTTACTAGAGCCGGAATCTACGTATATCTTACATTTTCTATGATCCTTTTCCCTTTCTCGAAGACTTCATAGATTTGTTTGGATGAACGTTTTTGTCCCTCCTATCGTCGTTAACACCATTTTCATTTCTTTTTCACTTCCTCACCGTCAAACATCATGACGGAACAACCATCGATAGTATGGCATCTTTAATTTAATATTCTATTACCATGAATTTCATAAGAATTTACAATATTTACATTTAAAACCACCATACCATATTTTAGATTCATCCATTTTATACGATTTGTATAAAATGTCTTTCATATTAAATGGGCTAAAGTTATTTTTCGGAACACATATACCAGCTTATTTACAAGGAAATATCAAACAAACACTGAAGCTAAAAAAATATGTTTTGTCTTAACTGATTTATCAAAAGACTGGGTAAAAATTTATGATAAAGAGTGATGAAGCAGAAAATGAAGAAAAAGCCTGTGGATGATGTTGTGGTCTATGTTTTTGCTTGGAATTTAATTTATTGATTTGTCACCTTCGCTTACATAAATGCTCCCCCACCTTTTTCAGTTTCCCCATCCTATCACACTAATTAAAAAGATTTAATTTATTGACATCTTCAAGTACAAGGTTATTTTTTCACTCAAACAACCATTCTCATAAATTTACAAGTGTCCTTGCTTTTACTACAAAGTAGTAACAGAAACAATTTAAAAATCAGTAAAGACTAATGTTTAAAATATTTAGATAAAAATTTGGCTGTTCAAAAAAAAAAATTTAGATAAAATAATAGCGTTTGATTATATCTATAATTTTTGAAAATATAAAAATATTTTGCTGAATCATAGAAATGAAAGTTGTGAACTACTTATATACAAATTGGTTGATTTGTACTATATGGCATCTTTAACAAGCAAAAATTTAACTGAAAAAATGAATTAGATAAGGTTAAAGTTATCTTTGGTCTGCTAGTTTATTTTTTAAATTTATTGTCATGTATTTTTTTTTTTTTAATAGCTTATAAGATAAAAAAATTTTAGACAATTTATTGATAAACTCGTAAAGTTTCTTTGTAAGTTTTAAAATACACTCTTACTCGTAATAACTTATACTAATGTTATAACATTTAAAACAACATTTTCCTTTTGAACAACATCAATATTTTATAAAACTCAAAAAATGGCTAGCTAGGAGCTAACAAAAATACAAAGTTAAGGCAACATTGGATTAAACAACCACATTAGTGCTAGCCTTAGGATTCCTACAAAAAAAGAACGAAAAAAAAACTTAATATTGTCAAAAATAAATTGTTTCCATTTACCCAAATCATCATCATAACCACCGATTGCAAAATCAAACTATCTCGGCTAGTACCTGGGGACGCATCAATCCAAACAAGCAAACTTGAAATCTCAAAAATAATAGGAATCGACAAGTTTAACCACATTTCGACCCTTCTCCATACTTGCTGGACCAAAAGACAATTACGAAATAAGTGCGCGACATCTTTCGGGTAATCATTTTCATCAAAACCCGCCACAAAAAGATGTTGGCCTTGATAGGAACATGAATATTCCATCTCGTAGTAACACTTCCCATTGGAAGTCTCGAAGCATCAATATGACTCCTGACAGATTTGACGAAAAACATACCAGAAGAATCTAAGTCCCAGTTCCATTTATCTGAAACTGGGGGTCAACACAACCGGATTCAGAATATCTATAAGATTATCAAATTGCATAGTTTTCATACCACCTCTAATACAACTACGCCATAAGAAATTCCATCATGTAGAAAACCAAAAATCACAAACTAGGCCGCCTTGTTTTAGGAAGAGAGCATACAACCTGTGATATTATATAACATATTGAATAACTTGTTCTTACTAATCAGTTTTGATATTATGAAAGTATTATGTTATTTAGATGATATTATTATAATAATAAAAATATTTTTGATATTATGTTACATTTATCATAAAACGTATCAACTGATTGTTATCAAACTTTAATATTGTATCAAATAGTAATTTATTAGTATGTTCATCAGCAGTTATATTGAGTGTGAGCTTATTCATCATGTACGACTCATACCGATCCAAAAAAAAAAACGGAGTCGAACTAATCCAAACTATTATAGTTTCAACTAATCCAAACTATTATAGTTTCAATCATTTTAAATTAGAGAAAAACAACTTAAGATTTCAAACGAGTCTGATATATTGTCATTTGTAGGTTATAAAATCACAAAATTTGATTATATTTTTATTTTATATCGAAAATAACGATTTGTTGAAAGAATCGCATTTAAAAGCTAACCAAATAGCCAATTTCAATATACTCCAACTCAAATTGATCAAAATTTATGTTTTTTTAATTTTTTAAACAATTTCAATAAACTCCTCAAATTTGATAAACTTTGTTTTTTTTTTATAATTTTTTTTGGTCCAAACTAATTTTTGTCTAGATGGGAATGTTTTTGACCTTTGGATTCTTACACCATGCCCCTATTTCACACACTCCCTGGATATCCATTCCCTGCATAAATAGCTTCTGCATCCTTATTAATGGTAGTTTACGTTTATACCCTTTACCAAAAATACACACCACACATCACACCTAAACCCAAATCCAGCCAAACATACACATTTCAATACACAAAGTACAAATCATCGAAGCATTATTTCTTGAATTTAACAATTCCATCTCTTTAACTCTTATTTCTCTTTGGGGTATAAAGGAAAAGACACCCCCCACTCCACTTTTCACCATAATAGAAACCATGGATGTAAGTTACTACACCTCACTCGCCTCCTTTACTTTCATTTCCAATTCCTCCATCAATCCACCATAACTTGTAGTTGATAGTTGATTGATGTTCCTTTACAGAAATTTCAACAATGGTGTTGTGTTTTGCAGGAATTCACGGGAAATCATATTCCGGCGTTTGGGAGCTGGGATTGCAACAATCATCTTCCTTTTACTCAATGTTTCGAATCAGCTCGACAAACTGGATACATCGGTTATGGCTATGGCTACCCTCAAGATCGCGATCTGTACGTCGCCGGAGATCTGTATGAGAACAATGTCGTCACTCCAGCCATGATTGTCGTTCCTCGACGTCGGGTAAAGCCTTATGCCTAATTGTATTTCACATTCTGTTGATTAAATTGATTCTGAATTGTGGTTTTTCCTTTTGTGGTGTTACAGAGGAAAGCGCCGGTGAAGCAAAAGAAGAAGGAACCGTGGGTGGTTTGTGATTACGATTATGTTTACGACTACAGCGAGAAAGAAGATCTTGCACCGGAGCAACCGAGGAAGGATGTCAATGTTAGTGGTAAAGTTCATCCAAAGGCTGTTGATGAGGACTTGTACAAGATCTCGCCGGAGCTCCTCCGTGCGCCGCCGAGGAGGGTATATTGTTTCTTCTTACTTTCCATTACTGTTCACGGGTTATCTGACACTTTTTGAATCTCCGCAATTCACGTAATTCACTTTTGTGCACTTTTTACATGACCTGTGGACCCCATAGTCAAACCATGCTTAAAGTCAACACTCTTCTTCTGTTCTTCACCAATAATCAATCAAATCTCATTGATATATAAATTTTTTGAGGATCAAAGATTTAAAGAAAATAGATGTTTATATATTACAAAGAAAATGTAATAATTATGGGTATTTTATATCTTTATTTTAGGGAGTTGGGTCAAAGATTAAAGAAATAGGAGTTTTTTGGTTTTAAAAACTTGATTTTGTCTTGTAATGCAGAAGAGCAATAACCAATAAGTCAAATCTCATTCACATTAAATTTCTTTAAAGAAAATATTCTTCAAAGATAAGTAATAGTTTTTATTGGTATTTTCTTTCTTGATCTTGGGAGGTGAATCCAAGATTAAAGTAATAAAATATAAGAATTTAACGTTTAATTAACTTGAGTTTGTTTTCTTATGCAGAACAGCAAGAGATGGGGGTTGTTTTCAATGTGTATGCAGCCAACTTGTGTTAAGTGAAATCTTTGAAGATGCAAATTTCAAAAATAGTAGAGATATATAAATATATATAGATATATAAGAGTATGTGTGAATGTGTCAAAGATGGTGACATGGCCCAAGGATATGAAGATTGGAAGATGTGAAGAAGAAGAAGAAGAAGAAGAAGAAGAAGAAGAAGAGAAGTATTCATGGTGTTCTTTTTGTTTTGGTGTAATCCATTTTTGTATTTCACTTGACAAAGTTTAATGAATTGAATTTTGGGCCATAATTTCTTAACCCTTTTCGATATTTAAATGTCATTTAACTTTTTGTAATACCAAACATACCAAAATAAGCAATTTTTGTTGTGGTTAGGATATTAATCAACATTTGTTCAAATATATGAAATTTTATCAAGGGGTTTTTGACATTTTTTCTTTCAAGAATCTTAAGTTCTTTCGTTCAAGAAACAAATTGATCCAATGTTGAAGATAGATCTTTTAAGTTAACGTGTCAATACAATTTTTTTTAAACAACAACTTGTACTTGTTATTTGAGTGTTTAGTCAGAGATCGATGGTAATAAAGTAAAAAAGATCTTTAAGTAGAAAAATTGGTGAAAAATATGAAAGTAATGAAGAAAATGGTAAAAAGAAAAGTAGACTTTTGGATGGTGGGGTATGGTTTGTTACTATAATTATGAAAGTTTCTGCATGCTCTAAACCAACCCAAAAAGAAACCCTCTATTTTGCATGCTCTGAAAATACCACCAGTCTTGCCTTTATTGAAAGTGACTTGAGTATGCCAATGTATGTTGGCTTGTACCATTTTATATGGATTAATCTTTAACAAATATTTTGAAATTATTATTGTCAATATAGTATGTGTTTGTAAATAGTGTTTGGATGTGTTGCAAATCATGTTTTATGTATTAAATTATTAATCTTCTTTTCTGATTTGACCGTAGCATTCAAAATCCAATGTAAAACTTGACATAAAGCAATTTTTTTTATTAATTCTATGTATTTAAAGGTAAAAATATTAAATTTTAGTTGGGACATAAAAGTATTCATAGGTATGGGGAAGTTTCTTGAGAAGAAACTTTTTGTTTTTTTGCTTTAGGCCACCTTTTCCTTTTTGTGTCTTTTCTCACTAAGAGTTAAAAATGAGGCATTTTTGCTTATAAAGATACAAAAGCTTGTGGTAGGTTATCTTTTAAGGTCAATCTTTTGAGAGGGACAACATGAAAAAGACTTGGGGGTAAGGTGAGGGCCTAGGGGTGATATGGTCTTTTTCATTTTTTAAGATTAAAAAGAAAAAAGAACATCAAAATGTTTGTAGGGTGTTTCCTTTTAGTGGTGGTGCACATGCGAAAGGAGAAGAGACTTGTTTTGAAAGATAGGTGGACACTCCAAGGCTTTTTCAGTGCAAGGTTTACTTATATGATTCTTTATGTAACAAAAGTTATAAAATATAAATTTGACATTTTGTTTGTAATATTTATTTTAAATACATATTAATGAAGTATATGCCTCGTTAATATGAGATTTTCAAATCTAAGTGTGAAAATAATACTACACCCCTCATACAAATAAATTGGGGATACAACTGTAATTTTACAATAAAGAAACTAAATCATAATATACGTAAATCCCAACTTACAATTTCAAACCATCAAAAGTTTGACAATATAAGTGAGTGTTGTTTATAGTCAACATAAGCATTGTAAACAACCAAGGGCGTTTTCGGGGATGAGAGTACCCCTTGTCCCCGACCCAGACCCCGATCTTGGTAGTTATATTACGTCTTAGAAAATCAAAATATTCTATAAAGGATTTAGGAACCTTGAAAACTTAAATAAGCATACATAAATATCTTAAAAGACTAGTGCAATTCAAAAAAACTGATCAAATTCGAATGAATTTGCCGACTCTACAAACCTGTAGAAAAAATAAACATAACGTCTTCTACAAAACTTCAAATGAATCATTGTTTTTTGTGTTGGAAACCATATTTACACATATTTCCAATCATATACTATACACAAATTTTAGTGTAATACCCACTTTCCAAGTATGAGTTGTTTTCGTATCGATTTGGATTAAGTTTGAGATTTGGGGTTTTTAACTAAGCGTGGAGCGACTTCTGAATGTCCCGACGTGTGTCCTGGTGATAAGTAGCGACGCGGCCATGTATTAGTCACGATGCGAGGTCATGGTGCTAACTTTTAGGCTTCTCTCTTACCACCAGCCTCCATCTCCGTAACGTAATCCTAGCATCCCATTGTGCCTTTGAGAGATTTTTGTTGTGTCTGTGAGAGCCTTGAAGAAGAAGAAAGCTTGTGGAGTTTGAAGAAGTGATTTCCAGTTGAAGTTTCCACCTTCTAGACCCTCTATTTGCATTGTAAGTCATAAAGTTTCATGTTTTATTCAGTTTCATGCTTAGATCTAGACTTGTGAAGAGATTTGATCTCTTTTGGTCCCTTTTTATGTACTTCTTGGAGTTTGGGGAACTCCATGATCATTTGCTTGACACTGGGTGATTTATGGACTTATTTAGAGCCTTTGGAGTGCATGTTTGAGCTTCTTGTTTTCCATGAAAATGATTCAAGTCATTTTTGGGACATTTAGGAGTTAGGGTTAAAGATTGAGTTATAAATCTGGATAAAGTTGGAAACTTTATCCATTAAGTCCCTTGAGAGATTCAAATGGGCCCATATTACCTTCCACACCTATCCATACTAGATCCAAGAATTGCTCCATGGTTTCCAAGTCACTACATTGTATTATTGATAGGTCTTTTCACACACACAGTGTTTCAAGGACCTAATTATTTATTTCCTAGACTTTACTTAGGATCTTGCATCTCTATCGACACCCTACCTTACGAATAAATGCCTTATCGCGCATATATTAAACTTCCTAGACTATCCTTCTAGGATTCCTTTCCACTTCTCTCTACGGTTAGCCGAGGAAGATCTTCTACTAATATTAACTAATTATCGGACGAATACGATTACATGCCTCTAAAATCAAACAGTTTGTCGACTGAAAGATCTGACACTACGACGGCTAGACTCAAGCGAGAATTGCGCAATAGCGCCAAATCAGGCAATCTAAAACTATTAATTTTGGGAGCATGCAACCTAACGTACTTGTCGAATGGCTAATTAATATTAATATAGATTCTAAGCAGCAAATAACAAGCAAATCCCTAGACTATAAGGTATCTTAAGTATCAGGAAATTCTAAACGACAATTCTTGAAAATATCCCTGACCTACATACTAGCATGCATTTCTAACATTTCATATATCAGCAAACATAACAAATAGTCAAATATGGATATTTTAGGAATCATTTTCCCTTCTAAGCTTAGCTGACTGCACACATTACATTTTTCCTTTTTGTATTATTCTTTTTATGAAAAGATTTGTTAATTACTCAGATCCTTAGTTTGAATCTGGAATCATACAAGTGTTCATCCAGTCTTTCAAACCAGAGCTCTGATACCAACTTGTAACATCCCGTGTTTCAACCCAAAATTTTCATTTTTATTTATTAAAATAGTTCATTGTATAATTAAATTATGCGGAAACATGTTGTGAATGTGCGTGTGTATAGTCGAACCATGTCCTTCTCGAGAGTCAATGAAGTACCTGAAAAACATTTATATTCAACTAGGTAAGCATGAAGCTTAGTGAGTTTCCCAAAATACCATATACCGCAATACATATAAATGCATACAAACAATGGCTCGCGATCTTCCAGTAATATGTGTACTTATGGCCTACATGTCATTTCGTTAACATAGGTCTATGTGTACTTACGGCCTACGCGTCATTTCGTTAACACGAGTCTATGTGTACCTACGGCCGACATGCTATTTCTTTCCACATGTGGGCCTATAGGCTCCCTGCCTCTTTAACCGTTCCACCATCATCCCCTATCTAAGTCTGATATCACATCAATTACGCACATAGAGACCACACTCTAGATTCTACTAATACATGTATATTTATACTTTATACACTACTTAAGCATAGAGATATTATACAATTAGTTCTTACTCTACTAGCTCTCTATCCTAACACACATGGATATATATTGTACTACATGGTATAGTGAGATAACTCACCTAGACAATTATTCAGAAGATTGGCAACTATCTGGGCGATCCTATTGGCGATTCAACTGGTGGGTAACGCGTCGAAAAAATATTAACCTATATTACTATAACTTATTAGTCCCTATGGGAATCTGGTAATGAAAGGTTGGATCTCTCACTAATCTCAATAAATACTGATAGTTCTATCAAATAAGGATCGGTCAGGCAAGACAGTTGGTAGGCATGATCATTTCGACATATAGCTTATATGAAATCCAACAACCAAGTTGTAACACCCTTTATTCAGGTAATTTCATTTTTTTACCCTAAGTATTTAATTTGTTGCAAAACGGTCACATGGCTCACTTAATGAAAACGCGCCTTCAGGTGAGTAAGATGGGCGTACGTAACAAATGAGCAAACCCTATTTAAGCATCATTATCTTCTCAAGACCATTTCCCTCATCAACCTCCATCCCCTAATTCGTACCTAGCAAACCCTAATCCTTTGTGTAAGCCTTTTTGAGTTTGAGAGTGCATTTTTGGTGTTCTTGAAGGAAGAAAAAGGAAGTGGAATCATGTAACGTCCCAAAAATATGGCCCAAAAATTTCATTTCTTTTTTTTTTTTGAAAATTTTACCAAATCCTCAGTTTGAGTTTAAACAAACCCGAGAGTATGTCTGAATCCCTCAAACTAAGTCTCTGATACCAACTTGTAACGTCCCAAAAATATGGCCCAAAAATTTCATTTTAAAATTTATAAAACGGTAATCCAAAACATTGTCATACAACCAAGAAAGACCCAAGTGTATCACTACAGCACAAAATATCAGAGTAATTCTCAAAATGCAGAATGAAGTGGTGTGTGCTCTGTAATCATCCCTGGCTCTTCCCCTTCGAACCAGAAGTACCTGAAACAAAAACTAAAATTGTAAGCACAAAGCTTAGTGAGTTCCCCAAAATACCACATACCATACATAATAAACACATACTGGGCCCCCGACCAAAATCGAGTCCCACCCGGCCTTGGGCCCCGCCCGACATCAAGCCCTGCTCGGTTTACAAATTTGTCAATCA